ATAAACTGGGCTTCTTTTAAAATCTCTGGAATATAGATTATTATAAGAGTTGTGTGTTAAAGAAGGTCAGAAGTCAGTAGTGCCCTCTAACCTCCCCCTCTAAACTCCCTCTCTAAACTCCATGTTAGCTGCTCCTGGTCGCTGACTCACAGGCTTTTATAGCTCTGTTAGCCCCTCCCCCTGACTGAGGCTCAGCCAATTAACAGAGACTTCTAGATTTCAAACCTTTTAAAAGCTCCTTCAAACAAATAACCAAACAAACCAACCAGACAAACATAAGCTCAGCACACAGCAAATAACTCCCCCCCACACACAAACACACACTACAGACAGCCACTTACCACAAGGGTCCCGTGGAGATCTCCCTCTTCAAACTCCCTGTTAGCTGCTCCTGTTTGCAAGCTTTCCTCCTCCTTTGTGCCCCCAAGCAGGAGCTACACACAAAGATCCTGAAAGGTATTTTAGCTCCCAACTACTGCTGATTTAGATGGAAAGTAGATCCTTAAATACCTGTGTGACTTTGAGGATCTAGGGCAACTAGTTATCCTGTTGAATTAAACTGTATTTTTCTTGTTTTGATTAAAGCCATTGTGTAATCTCCTCTTGTGTTATCAATAGCCAGAGGCCTAAAAATACAGTCAAAATAGGAAGCAGGTTGTTTTTAAGGCCAGAGGAAGGGATGACAGAGAATTACAGTAAAACAATGACACTGGGGAAAAAAAGTACATCCCATCTTTCTTATAAAGTTCTCAGCTCTAATCTACATTTTGATATGAAACTTTTATACACCGGTTCCTAGGCAAGAACACTCAATGTTATCTTAAAGTTATAACAGTCTTCCTAAGCGTGAGTGGCAAAGCTGAGTTACATCACCCTATTTATATGTATTACTACTGGATTACAATATCAAAATTAACTCTGTTTTCTTATAGGATAAGTTGGTACTTTATTCTACTACTGGAGAGATGCCAAATTCCTGTTTAAGGCACAAAGTTCAGTGAGGGAAGAGACAGTGGTGTTTAACACTTAAGGATAGACTCCAGAAATGTTCTAAAAGCTTTAAGAAAACTGGCTGGAAGGAAGGTAGTATTTATCTTAGAAGCTAGTGAACAACGCATAACATAAACAAGGAGAGACAAACAAGGTCAACTCTCCAACACTTAGAAGACCTCATGACTTGGATCTGGAGCTATTTTTTCAGTTCTTCTGCCATATAACTTTCAGGAGAAAAAAAACCACAATTCAATCCAACAGATACCTCCCTCTTTTGATGGAAATCCTCTCCAAGTTTCAGCCTAAAAATGTCAGAAAATTGAGAATGTGGAGATGAACAAAATATATCTGATAAAGTTAGGAGATGTATAGATTTTTGAATTTTAAGGGCAGATGTGTTCACCCTGATTATCTAGTATGACCACCTGCATAACAAAGTCTCAGGGGAGCTGAAACCTCCACAGGCTCCTGGGCAAGGTAGGATGTGGGGGAGGGAGCTGGCTCTTTGCTCCTGGAAAGTGTGGGACATTAGGCAGAAGGAGAGGGGCCAGGAACAGTCAACCCCCTTGTGCCACCTGGAGTGTGGCACACTCCCTCCAGCCCTCAGAGACTTATGGACCATGTGATGCGGTGCTCCAACAGCAATTTAAAGGGTTTGTAACAATGGTGGCAGCTGGGAGAATTGCTGGGGTAACTGCTCCCTTTGTCCCTCACTGTCAATGGGCCTTTATAGGCAATAGAACCTCATCCAGTAATTTCTGTATCAAGTCCATAACTTTTTCTGTGCAATTGTGTATCTTTTAGAAAACTACACAGTCTTGGTTTAAGGACTACAAGGGTATGTCTACACTGCAGGGCTTACTCGAAATAAGCTACTCAAATTGAGATATGTCAGTTGTGCAGCTTATTTCAAAATAATTTATTTCAAAATAGGGAGTGTCTACACAGCACTTATTTCAAAATAGAGCACTCTTCCTCTGACATCCCTTGTTCCTCATACAATGAGGGTTACAGGAGCCAGCATAAGAAGTCCTCCAGTTTGACAATATTTTGACACTATTTCGAAATAACTGCTGTGCGGATGAGGACTAAGTTTTCAGAATAGCACTAGTTATTTCCAAAAAGTGTTGCAATGTAGACATACCCCAACTGATGATGTTCTGCAGTTCTTTATGGTGATTTGCTTTGACAGAGGTTTTGACAGAAGCAAAGTGGGAAGTATCTACTTTCTGTCAGTTTAAAGTGGGAGGAAGAGAGAGAATATGACCTCTTGAATTCAATAAGAGTTTTGTTTGAGAAAAAACTATCTAAGGACTTCAGTATTAAGTCCATTAAAGATAATAAACTTTTTCTTTCAGTAAGATCTGCAGAATTTGAGCCAGACAAAACAAAGTCTCCATCCCTTTTGAAAGAAAAGAATACATTCAGATACAAGTAGTTTTATACTCCCCCTTAAATGGATCTGAAACAGGATTCTCTCTTCTTCTTTTTTTTTATTTTTTTTTTCCAGTTCTTGGAGGTCACCATGACCAAATAAAGAATAATGAGAATGGATCTTTTTTGTTCAGACTGACTTATTGTAGACGTTTCTATGGCAATTTTTTTATCAATTTATGCAGTATATTAGTTATGATTCTTTTAAAACAATTTAGCATGCTACACCATAGTAATACTTCCGTGTTTCCTGAAATTCACTGAAGTCTCGGTGTGAAAAGGATATAACTGAAAGATCAGCTTTAATGAAATGGTGAGGTAGATCATCTCTCTTGGATACTACTGGTACCCAAATCCTCTTCTGTAGGCTTGTGATACAGTCAACATTGATGCTAATTGGTGACTGAATTGCTCATCTAGGGTACTTCTACACTGCACAGCTATTTCAGGATACTGAAGGTATTCTGAAATAGCTACCTTGTGTCTATACAAGCTGCCTGTTATTTTAAAATGTTTTTCAAAATAATGGGCACGCTAGTTTTCTATTCTGGTAAAGCTCATTGCATGAGGGTTAAGGGATAGCTTGAAATAGTGTGATATTTCAAAATTTGGCACTGTATAGATGTGCCAGATTTCAAAATAAGCTATTTTGAAATAGTTTTGAAATAAGATACGCAATTTGTGTAGCACAAATTGAGTATCTTATTTCGAGATTAAGGTGCTGTGTAGATGCACCCCTACTGAAAATATCACATAGTCTTTTAGGGTGTGTCTACTCACCAGAGCTTAACTCAAAATAAACTATGTAAATTTAGCTACATCAATTGCATAGCTTATTTCAAAATAGCTTATTTTGAAATTGAGAACATCTACATAGCAGTTATTTCAAAATAGAACACTAGCTTCTCTTACTCCTTGTATAATGAGGATTACAGGAATTGGAGTAAGAAGTCCTCCAGCTTAACAGTATTTTGACAATATTTTGAAATAACTTCCTGCTGTGTAGATGTGGACTAAGTTACAGTATTTTGAAATACAGCTAGTTACTCAGTGTTCTGATAAATCAGATTTTGTGTTTGGTAAAGGGTGCATAAGTATGATTGGTTGGGCAGTAAGACCAGAGTATTTTACCTTTTTTTTTAAAGTCAAAAGAGTATATTTTCTAAGCAAGTGCATGTACATTTATATGCACAAATCTTGCTAGCACACAGCAGTACTTAAGCAATTATATTATTTTATTTGGAAAATATACTAAAAAAATATAAACATTGTTCTTTCCAGAAACTTTTTGACAACAGGTAGAAAAACATTTCAATATTGAATTTCAAATGATGATGAAAAATCTTGTTCAGTTGGTAGCCTTGCTTTCTTTGGTACTGCATGTACAACACACTCAAAATACAGTAGCTCTGCTCTTTAAAATAACAAATGTTTCCAATATTCACTTTCCCTTTCTGTAACAAGAATAGATTTTCTTACATCCAGCAGTGTCCTGCAATTGCTTGAAATGACTGTCTGTTGAAGGTCATTTAGTGACTCAGCTCCATCATGAGGAGATGAAATATCAGGAGATCTATTTTTTGAAATCTCACCTTACTAAAATTAAACACAAACTCCTAGAAAATGTGAATATGGGACAGAGAGCCATCAGTCACAGCTTCTCAATGAAACTGAAATCTCTCAAAGTTAATCTAACAGAATAGGCAGCATTATAATGTCATGCTCCTTGAGTAGAAGTAGTTCAGTTGCTAGCATGGGAGTCAGGACACAAGGATGCTGTTCCCTATACTGACAAAGACTTCCTGTGTCAACCTGGGTAGGTTTTTAAGGTATTTAGGCACCTAAAGATGTAGATGGATGCCTAGCAGGATTTTCAAAAGCACATTGATATTTAACAGCCATTGAAAACAATGGGAGTTAGGCACTTGGATGCTTTTGAAAATCCCATTATGAGCTAGTCTGCATCTCAAGTAGCTTAAAATATCTTTACAGATCTTGTCCTTAGTCCCCATGTATCTGAATACTCCATTTGTAAGGTGAGAGTAACAGTACTTTCCTACTTCAGAGATGTTAGAATAAATACATGAAAGACTGGGAGACACGCCAATATTATGATAATGGGGGCCATATGAGTACCTAAGACAGAGACAAGAAGAAAGATATGCATTTGGTTATACAAAGATCATAAATATGTTCAGTAGCTGTCTCTCTTTTTTTCAGCAAATAAGAGAAATAAGTATTTCTGTATCAAAGAGCAAATATTTACCATAGAAATTAAATGAGGGAAGGGAGAATCCATATCCCAATAAATTTCAGAATTTAATTATAAAATACCTGTCTGAAGTTACACAGCACCTGAGAGTCAGGATGTTTTTGGCAAAAAAAAAAAGTTAGGGGCTGGTTCTGCAGTTCTTACTTAACTGAGTGGTCTATCCAGGTGAATAATTCCACTGATGTCAACAGGGGCTACTTGCATAAAACCACTGATGAGAGAGGGTTGCTGGATCTGAGCACACTTCAGACGTTAGGAAAAGATTTTCATCAAAATGTATTGTATTTGTATGAATAAAACTACTTTCTGACCAATGACATTATTTAATGAACTGATTGGCTTCCATAGATCCCAATAGGCATAATATACATGATACAATGTAGACATAAGTGGATATTCTGATATTGTTTGACTGTGTTCCAATATTGTCACAGTGTCACTTTAACACTTGTTTGACATTGTTTCATTTTGGACAATGGGCCAGCAAGATATGACCAGAAAACTTTGTCAGTACATCAGCAAGATAGATAATGCACTTTGTATTGGAATGAGTCTGTGTTGTATTTAACTCAGTAAATCAGCTTGACTATATTTTTCAGTTTCATAGAAATTTATTCTTGGCATTAAGAAATAACAAGATTTTATATTTCAAATTCTTCAGTTATGTTCCTTTTCAGTTGGATTATTGTATATAAAAATGTGTATTCTTTTCTTCATTCAGAGTAGCAAGGGTCACTTGAAGCATTTAACTAGAATGGACTCAACAAACTAACCAGAAATGCCTGTAAGTCTGATCATTAGAGTTTTGGTAAACTCAATAACAAATAAAACATATATCTAAACATTCATGTTTTAAAAAATTACAAAATCTGAACAATAAGTTAATAAAATGAAGTTGTTACCTACTTAGCTTTAGATATGAAAATCCAACCAACTTAATTTATAAATCACTATAGCAGGCATGAGAAATGGAAATAAGGCTATAGAAATTCATGACTGATATTTAGAGATTTCCAGTAGAAGCTTTATATTTTAATTTTCTGTTCATATATAGCCAAAAGAAAGAGGCAAAGCCAACCTAACAATAATCCAAGGTTCTGTAAAAGAAACATCAACCAGGGTCGCCGTGTCTGAATGTGAGTCATTTCAGGAAGCTAAAAAAAGAATAAGATAGCAGAATGAGAGCCAGATATATTATTCTCTGGGAAAAAAAGTCTTATGGGAAAACAGACAAACTTCATATAAAAAAACTTGAATTGTGAGTTTCTGAATATAGTTGCAAATCTGTAGTAAACACTGCATGTTATCACAAATATTCAAAGTGAAATATTTCAGTTAATCTAATTCCATCATTGTGAATCTTTTACCACCATCAGCAAGAATTACTAAATGAGCATCCAAAACGTGTTGGCTTCTCAATTTTTCTAAAGAAACTTAATATAAGAAAACACTTCCTTAACTTAGTGCTTCCTTTTTATGGGAATAAAGCAGCTTTGATTATTTTGTTTCTGTACTATATATAGCGACTAGTCCGTCTCCCACTGACATTATTGGCAAAATTCCTATTGACTTGATCTTTAATGGGTACATAAATTAAAAGCATAATTCGCTAACTGTGCTTTTAAAAATCACCTTTTATATTTTCTCCATAGATCAGATACAAAGGCACCAAATGGTTAGCATCAGAGTAAAAACTATTTACACATTGACTTTTCACCCTACATGATTTCTTGAATCACTATATTGAGGATAATGTATCTTAATTGTATGTCCTACAATAGCCTGTGAAAATATACAACGTTGAGCCTGATGCGTCTCATTTAACTTTATTTTGTTTAAATCAACCTATGACAATAAATCTAGAGCCAGCGGTTCCCAACGTTTTCCAGATGGGGACCCATTCTGACAATTCAGGAAGACTTGGTAACCCAAGGAAATTTAAAAACGGGGGGGGGAGGGTAGGGGTGGGGAGAAGTGAGGGGGCAGAGCAACCTGAGGAGACATTTGGCGACCCTTTTGAAATGTAATGGCGACCCATATTTGGGTCCTGACCCATAGGTTGGGAAACCCTCCCTCTTGGTATATTGCTGTATTTACTTGTTTCCTTTATTCATTATATGCTTCACAACTTGATGAAAATATTTAAGCAAGAAATGGGCCAAAATCAAAACCGTATCTCAAAATTTTGGCTCTAATTGAAAGATCTGAATTTTAATAAGCCCTGGATACTAATTCTTAAAACACTTTGGTTCAAATTTTGAACCAGAATTGGAAATATTTTTTATTCTTTCCTGGACCATAAAATGTAAATCCTCAATCTCACACCATGTCATATTCTCTTTATATCCTTTATTTTTTCCTTTTTTTCTAATTTATCATGTTAATTGTATTAGTAATGTAAGCACCAACCATAGACTTGGTGACCCAAGGAAATCTAAAAATGGGGGTGGGAGGGTG